TTGGAGTGGGGGGAGAGGCCCTGCCTGTACTGAGCAAGTATATCTGAACCAGAGGGGCCCAGGGGTTCTGTGGGCGCCCTCAGCTCCTCCCACTGGCCCTGCCAGGTGGCCGCCACGTCGTGGGCCGTTTCCACTTGAAAAGTCTCACTCGGGTGGGGTGTATAGTGCGGCCAGCCTGGAAAATGCTTTTGCAAAAGTTCCTGGATCGTCTTTTCCCCTAGTTGGGACTTCTTATCTCTAGATCTCTCCCCTCACCCTCTAAAAGCTGTTCCTGTCTGTGTGTTTCAGGAAACAGCAGGCAGCATGCAAATTACGTAAGCTTTATTTATTTAAGCGAGCGTGAGCAGGGTGGGGGAGAGGCGATTTTGACTGTCTCAGCCCCAGCACTCCTCCTCGGCCTCCCAGCTAGTGAGGAACACGTGTACACACTGCCATGCCACGCCACGCCACGCCGCGCCACGCCTGTGCAGGTGGGGCCAGAAACCGAACCTGGGCCCCCGCGTGGCCTCAGCCTTCGCACAGTGGCACGCTTCCCCTCAGGCCCCTATAGCGGGCTCGCAGCTTTATTTTTTCAGACTATAACAAATATGGAACTCTATCCTCAAAGCTAAGAGACCTGTTGACAGAATGAACCAACTCTGTAGACATAATAATTCATGGTACTCAGTTCTAGGCACGTATATGAGTGATCGGCCGGAGAAAGACAGGTGTATGTCCCCAGGTCCTGAGAGACGGTGGTTCCTCCGGACAGTGCCGAGGGCAGGGGAGCTGTCCACCGGCCTGAGCAGCCTTTACATTGGCCGGCCCCGAAAGGGGGGGCGTCTGGAAGCAGAGGCTAAGTTGTAGGTGAGTTTACAGGTCTTAGCTTAGTAATTGGCTAAGAGAATCGCCAGTCTCGCTCGGGGAAAGAAGTCAACCAGGGAAAGAATGTCTGTGCTCTAGGCCCCGAGATAGGAGGGCTGCCGGGGCAGGGTGCTCCTGTCTGCAGGCCTGACTCTCAGAATTTCATCCTCAGACCGACAGACAGAAAGCCCCGGGTTCTCAGCAGTTCGGGCTTCCTCTCCCAGCCTGTGTTGGGGAGGCGGAGGCGCCCCTGCCCCTGCCCACAGGCATTGCTGCCTCTTCTTGCCGCCCAAGGCCTCAGGCTCTGCAGGAGCCCTCCCAGGCCTTCCAGCCTCCACGGCTACCAAGGGGGCGCTGGCCCCCCTTTGGGCAAGGAGAGTGGGTTTTTCTCGGGAGGCCCTTCAGCTAAGGCCACTGCTCTGTGCTCTGCCCGGGAGGTCATCGCAGGGTGTGCCAGATGGGAGCGCCGTGGGCGCTGGCGTTAGTCGGGCAGACGACGGCACCAATGATAGTGACACATCTGTGCTCCTTCAGCTGGGAAATAACTCATAAAAACCGGTGTCCTCCTCTTCTGCCAGCACTCAATGCCCCATCGTGAGCGGGAACCCTAACTAGCAGGTGTACAGGTCACCGTGAGAAAGTGTTTATCCTTGGCCTTGGACAGGCGTAGGGGGCTTACCAGAGCCGACCAGCCTGGGAGACGCGACCTGCCTGCCTTCGCTAAAGCCGGCCTGTGGCTTCCGATGGGGAAGGAGCCGTTGGCCTGTTTGAGCGTGGGGAGGCCTCGCCGGCCAGGGCAGATGCTGGGTGATCACCAGGGAGAAGTCTTACAGCTGCCCCGTTCCTGCTCGTGTGGCTGGTTGTGATGAGTGGTCTCTGCGTTCGCTGTAGCCCTTCCTCTGTCCTGATTATTTTTTAAGCATGTTTATTTTGGAGGTGGTGGTGGGAGGCAGCATCCCCGAGCGGGTCTTGATGCTGCAGCCCACGCCCCGCCTCAGCCAGCCCTGGTGTGCCCGGTGTGCTCAGATGTGAGCCAGCACCTCCCCGTGTGGGTCAGCCCCCAGGTCCTCTACTTACTGCATGCTGTCTGGCCCCTTGTTCACTTGTTTGTTTATTTTGAGAGAGATTTTTGCCATAGGGCGCACGCATTCACTGGAGAGATGGGGTGGGGGAGGACACGGACAGAAAGCGAGAAATCAGCCCCCAGGGGAATGGCCGTGCCAAAGTCCTTTCTCCTCCATTCTCCTCTCGGGATTTTGAGCACGCACACATACACGCCCGGCCTGAGTTTCAAGTCATCGGGTCTGGGACCCAAACCCTGGTCAGCCATGTGGGAGTCCAGAGCTTAACCACCATGCCACCTGCTGGCCCCTACTTGTTTATTTGTGGGTGCGCCCTTCGTCCGTCTGAGGCTCTGTGAGGAAGGTGGGGGCCGTCGGGCGTTTCCGTGAGAAGCTGCAGTGGCCGGCTGGAGTCAGGGCCAGCATGGGAGGAGGGAGGACGTGGCCTGACCTGGCTGCAGGGAGGAGGGTCTGGGCCAGGGCTGGAGGCAGGTCCTAGCCAGTGACCTTCGTCAGCTGACAGGGTGACTCCAGGCCGCAGATGCCTGTACCCTGGGAAGAAGTCCTCACCCGCAGGGTTTCCTGAGTGAAGTGAGTCAGCGCCTGCCCTGAGGGATCAGAGTGGCCGGACAGACAGCACTGGCGGCCGGTGGGGCCAGTCGTTTCTCCAGCCAGGCCGCGCCACGTCCTCTGCGGCAGTCGCTGTGTCTTCCGGGCTGCGGGTCCTCGTCGCATGGGTGAGGAGCCTCTGTCCTGCTCGGCTGTGGCCCTCTCAGCAGCTCCACCTCCTCAACAGTGTGTGCTTCTGTGTCAGGCTCAGCGCTGGGGACCGACTGCTCTCTGGGGACCAGGACAGATGGCGGACACCAGGCGCATGGAGCAGAGCCCCGTGTCGGAGATGCAGCCTTCACTCTAGCCCGGTAAGCCCTGCGTGCCTCGAGGAGGAGAGGGCGCCCCAGTGCGTGTGGAGCCGGTTCAGGGGCATCCCCGGGCCGCAGTGTCCCCTGGGAGACGTGGGTGGGCTGGTCCCGGCTCAGTGTGAGGTGGCGTCGGCGTGGGCCAGGTGCTGGGGCGCGTGGGAGCCAGGCAGAGGGCTGCCGTCGCAGTTCTGAGCAGTGGGCTCAGGAGGACGGGCTCTCGGCACCGCCAGAAGCTCGGTGGGCCACAGCTACAAGTTCATCAGTTCTGAATCTGCCAGGCATGGTGGGCTATGGAGGACTGACCAGAAGGCTTCCTTACCCCACTTGTATTGGGGAAGAAATCTTTTATTTTCTTGAATCATCAAAATGACAATTTTTTTTTAGAATTATTTTATTGAACTTTATTGTATTTACTTATTTAAACTTGATCAGAAAGAGACAGAGGGAGAGGGGACGCGAGAAAGTGAACCGCCGGGTCTGGGACTCCAACCGCAGTCGGCCGTGTGGGAGTCCCGCGCCTCACACCACACCTCCTGCTGGCCCCGCCCCCACAGGACTGACTTGTCCCCACACTCTGATTCTTGCACAGCTGGCATCGGCCAGGCGGTGAAAGTGCGGAATCCTCTGCGAAGTGCACAGATGTGCGTCAGTTCACGGACAAAGCCCCGCGTGGTTTCATGTGGCACGCAGATTTTTCTGCCCCAAAGTGAACTTGTACTTTCATTCCATTTTCCGTGAACTTTCTGAAGCCCCACCATTCTGTGGCAGCGTTTCAGAAATAGTGTGGCGTTGGGACCAGCAGTTAGCGTAATGGCTGTGTCTCTGGACTCCCATGTAGTGACTGGAGTTCAAGTCTTGGACCCGGTGGCTTAAACTCACACTGGGTACGTGTGTGCACGTGCCCAAGATCCCGAGAGGAGAATGGAGGAGAAGGGACTGCGGCGTGGCCATCCCCCCTGGGGGGTGATTTCTCGCTTTCTGTCTCTCTGTCTCTCTCTGTCTGGCGAGTGCACGCGCCCTATAGCGAAAACCTCTCCAAAAAAAAAAAAAAAAGAAAAAAAAAAAGAAATAGTGTGGCGTTGCTAGACCGCTTGTCGCCTGGGGCCCAATCTTGAGTTCATGCTCTGGTCCTGTGGGCCTTATCTTAGTTCTGAGGGGGAGGGAGGGGCGGTGGGCCCGCAGTCCCTCACAGCCGGCCTGCCCACACCTGCGCCCCAGGCGCGGCCCGGCCTCCTCCCGCGGGAGCTGCCACACACCCCATGCGTTTTCCCCACTCCAGGTCATGGCTCCCAGCCTCTCAGCTGTGAGGCTCCAGAGGAGGAAATGACTGCTCAGGGACCTCGCTCCAGACCGAGCTCGGAAACCCAGCCTGCGTAGGGCGCAGGGCGCGGACTCACTGAGGACAGGAACGTTGCTTTCTTGGAAGGGCTTTCCGTTCGTCACAAAGAGAAGAAAGATGACGACCTCGTCCATCCGACGGCAGATGAAAAACATTGTGAACAATTACTCGGAGGCCGAAATCAAAGTGCGGGAAGCCACCTCCAACGACCCGTGGGGCCCGTCCAGCTCGCTGATGACGGAGATCGCCGACCTGACCTACAACGTGGTGGCCTTCTCGGAGATCATGAGCATGGTGTGGAAGCGGCTCAACGACCACGGCAAGAACTGGCGGCACGTGTACAAGGCGCTGACGCTGCTGGACTACCTCATCAAGACGGGCTCCGAGCGCGTGGCCCAGCAGTGCCGCGAGAACATCTTCGCCGTCCAGACCCTGAAGGACTTCCAGTACATCGACCGTGACGGCAAGGACCAGGGCGTCAACGTGCGCGAGAAGTCCAAGCAGCTGGTGGCCCTGCTCAAGGACGAGGAGCGGCTGAAGGCCGAGAGGGCCCAGGCTCTCAAAACCAAAGAGCGCATGGCCCAGGTGGCCACCGGCGTGGGCAGCAGCCAGATCACCTTCGGCCGCGGCTCCAAGCAGCCCAACCTGTCCTCCAGCTACTCCGAGCAGGAGTACGGCAAGGCGGGGGGCTCGCCGGCCTCCTACCATGGCTGTGAGTAGCCCGCGTGTCCCCACCCCTTGCCGGCGCACTGAGCCGTAGGCAGCGCGGGCACCCTCGGGCTGGGGGGCAGGGGTGGCCACTGCAGCGTGCGAACCCGCGGGTCCTCAGCTTTGAACGCCCCGACAGCGGTTCCCCCAGTCTGGATGGAGTTACGGTTACCAAGGGGCTTTGGGTCCCGTAGCCGCTCTGTGGGTCTCATTCTGAACATCTGGGCAGGGCCAGCCCTCGGGGCTCCCTGCATCCTGGGGCAAGGTGGGCACAGCGGCGGATGGTGCCTGCAGCAGTGGAGTGCCCGCAGCACCCGCAGTGGGGAGCCGACTCTGGTGGCCAGGAGAAAGCCAGCGGTCTTCCTCAGTAACCCTGTTTCTTTAATCCGTGTTCAGTGCCTTTACTGACTGAGCTGCAGTCTCTAACGGCTCAGTGCATTGTCCGCCTTTAGGATCACCAGGGTGGAGATCCGGTATCTCTGTCTCCTTTAAAGAGGGAAGCAAGCAAAAGCCCTCCCGGGTTGCTTAGTGTGAGCAGGGCTTCCTTTCCAAGCCCGCAAACCAGAGCCGCAAACAGAGCCACAGAGCCGAGGGCTGTGTGGGCAGGGCCACGGGCAGGGCCACGGGCGGGGCCGGCCCAGATCTGGCCTGGCCTGGCCTGTAACTTGGAGTCTTAGTCTTACATTCAGAAGAGATTTCAGGGGGCAGAGTGGAGCTCAGGGCCTGGCAGAAGCTGTCTCTGTGAGCATCCTGACTGTCACCAAAATGGGTCTAGGAATGGGTGACTCTGGTATCACTGGGTTGTGCCGGCCACGTTGTAGAGCCCATGCTCGGAGAGACAGGTGGCTCTGGTGGCCTTTGGGGGTGTGGGGTGAGAGAGGTAGAGATTGTGTCTTCTGTTGCAAAGCAAGAGTGCAGATGCCCATCCCCTTTCTCTTTAGAGTGTGTCAGCATGGCAGAAGCTTTTTCCCTTTTCAGAGGAGGTCAGCTGTCAGCGACAAATCCCTGTCAACCTCGCACAGCCCGTGGTTCTGTGACAGACCACTTCCTAACACTTACTGCTTCTGCAGGTTTCAGTGTGACTTTGTAGCAGGCCACCAGCAGCATTTGGAGAAAGGTGTCCGCTGGGGGATTTGCATATGAAAGTGGGACCTCTTGCCTCTAGGAATTCTAAGTTATTGTCCGACGAGGTTAGCAGCCTCATAGTGTCCTGTTCCTAGTTATTGTCATTGCCCCCCTCAGTTTGAACTACTTTGCCCAAGCTAAGGTTACGACCTTCCAAAAAAAAAACGCTTGCAAATAATTGAACCTGCATCTCCAGGAGTCTCCCTGGGGGCTAGGTTGCACCAAAATGGAGACTGCTCTTTAAAAAGCTTTTTAAAAAGTTTTATTTCTCTCGAAGGCCCTCTTGCCATCCCCCAGCAAGGCTCCCCCTGGGTTGCAGTGGCCCCAGCTGCTGGCTTCCTTTCTGATGTGTGGCTGTGGTTGGGGCGCACGGCCACGGGGGGTGCCCCCTTTCTGTGCCTCCCACAGCCGTCGTAGTTAGAAGCAGACGACGTGAAGGCTTAGCTGCACCAGCTTGCCGCTCCATGAGCAGCTGCGGCATGTGCAGGGGTGCGGCGGGCTGTGCAGAGCTGGAGGTTTGACTGGGCCCCTCACCCTAACACTAAGCAGGGCCCCCAGTGCCAGGTCAGATGCTGCGTTCCCAGGCGAAAGGATGCTGCCCGGTCCCAGCTCTGACGTTCTCTGGGTCCCTGGGACCTCGCACTCCTGCTGTGTGGCCGGGGCAGAGCGTGGCCCGCAGGTTGCTCCCAGGCACAGCGGCCGTGCCTCCTGCAGGGCCACACACCCTCTAACGGGTCCCCCCGGCGGGCCCACCCCCCCCCTACCAGCCTGTCTCTCTCTGTGTGTGTGTGTGTGTGTGTCCCTGCCCGACAGCGCCCGAGGCCTCGCTGTGCCCCCAGCACCGCACAGGGGCCCCGCTGGGTCAGAGTGAGGAGCTGCAGCCACTGAGCCAGCGCCCCGCCT